CCAATTAACGATACAACAATAATGGTGTGTACAAAGTACAAACAATATAATATTATATGTGATAGTCATATTATATGAGATATATATGAGACCTTATCTTAATCGTTAAAATATTTTAATTATCGTTTTACTAAAATGTAATCTATTTGTATAAAATCCAAATACCACTGACTCACTCATCGCTGTAACTCAAGAAATACACTACGTACGAACTTGAAATTTGGAAAAGAGGGTTTTCTCTAATTTTCACAGTGCAATAAGAAAGGGTTTTAAAAATGTTGGGTTTTAGTGGAGTAATTAATAATTATAATTAATTACCGGCAATACGTATATACGGCGGCCCACGGGATTGTCTTGAGAAGTTTATCAAAAAATAATCTCATGCATCCCGCTTACAATAATACTCCAATTATATTTTAAACGATAAAATGCACACCGATAACATTTAATCCAATACATATACAAATTTTATTGATCTAGTTGCGCAATAAGAAATTAGTTTCTGATATTTGCTTTTTAAAGAGGTGGTAAACAGGGATCTTAAGATTCACTGTGGAAATCGAAACTTTTTTTGTTTATCAATGGTTGCCTGTTATATAATTTGAGAATTATTTCACAAAGCCTAGATTCAATTACGCCGGTTTGTCCATAAAAATAAATAAAATAACTCCCCAAAACCATATTGTTATATAAATATTAAATACTCCTAAAAATCCGGGAAGGTATGACTTCAATACTACTTTAGGTACAGTGTACATAATTTTTTTTCAACTACTGTACTAATATAGGCTACCTATATTGTATCTTCCTCCTCGATTGAATACCGGATAATTTACTGTTCGCATTACCATAAGTGAAACTCACGGGCAACGCCAAACGGGATGGCTAAAAATTAAAATATTATATGATTTTGCTTCTATAGGTAACAATGCAGAGCGAATTACACCCAAAAGCAGTTAATAAATCACAATTTTTTACCGGGAAATGACGGGTTATTCAGCTAGTTTCTAAATAAAATTATAATATATTAATATGCACAGACGTTATATTATAGGTTTGGTGAAGCGAATGACATTTTGAAAAATAATAAAAGCGATTCTTAGATGAAATGCATATTAATTATAGTTAGGTTTAAAGAGTTGAACTACTTAGATATATTTTATCGGTTTCCTAAAATTTAAAATAAGATAATAATACATATTTAGACAGTTATAATGACCAAATAGTTGTGCTATTTTTAAAAATTATTGTTTCCCCCAGTTTCGGGGCCATATAAATTGCGTTATAAATTAGGTAAACGAACCTTTTTGAATGAGTTGCAACCCGGACGCAATTCGTGTTACTTTTTACTTACACATTTTTTTAGTGGTTCCCAGGCGCTTCAACATTTTTATTTATGTTTTTAAGAAAAATTATGATAATAAATTAAAAATGTATCAATAACAAAATATTATCATAAGAAAACTTGTTTTTAGTGGTTCGCAGATATTTTCAATAAAAGTACAACGGACTTCTCAATCGATGAATAACTACCTATGGATTACAGGTGGGCAGCAAAAAGTTCAAGCTCACAAAGATTCACCAAAGTATTTCATTCAACATTTTTCTAGTTTTTATTTTTTACTTTTCTAACCCAAACATATAAATTGAAAAATATGTTTAATACCTTTTAAAAATATGCAAACCAATACTATAATATTGATAATTCTAAAAAACTTCGATTATCCAGAAAACTAATATGAAAAAGTATACTATTTATAGAAAATAATTAAATCACAATAATTGAAGGTTATCTAAACAAATTAGATAATAAAATATATAAATACAGAAAAGATTAAAACTCAGTATAATGAACTTTTTACAATAATATGATTTATGAATTATGATTTATATTATGATATGATATTTTGACAGATCTACATTATGGCATATTATGGAAACATCTCATTAGGAACTTATAGTTATTAACTGCAAGTAAAAAAGTAACCTGAATTGCGTCCGGAACGCAAATTCGTTAAAAAATTTAGTTTACCTGACAAGGTACGCAATTCGTAGCACCAGTAGTTTTAAAGGCAGTCTACCTGCCACGACCATTATCGCATTGGTAGGTACCGTCTTGTAGAAGCAGGCTATTCTTATAGCCATTCTTCATTGGGGCCCCGATAGCTTCTTTATATTACCTTCGAACACTAAAGCTAATATCCAGATCGGTGCTGCGTACAACAGTTGAACAACAGTTACTGTGAATTATCGACCGTTTAATTAGTATTTGCGCTGTGCCTGATTGGGCGCACGAATACCACTAGACGCGCAGACCTAATCCAACTTAACCTACCTACTTAAATAGTAACATACTAAAGGTACACAATAATGTCTCAATGATATAACATTAACACTACAAAACTTGCTAAACTAACTAACTGAACTGAGACTGGAAAGAACATTGTCTGTGTTGGTAAGTCTATATTTTTCCATAATTATTTTCAGTTCTTAAAACCGGTTCTGAATACCGGTTAAAACTGTTAAAAACCGATATCGATACCGAAACCGAAAAATAATTCGAATAAAACCATTACTAGTATTCAAAACCAAACAAGAAATCAGAAAATGTAAATACCGATATCCGAAACCAAAAACCAAATCTGAAAAAATAAATACCGATATCCGAAACCTAAATCGAAATCGGGAAATATATTTACGATTTCAATCCCTTACTATATTTGTAAGTGAGCTATGAGTATTTTTAAATTGCGTTATTTTATGCTCGTAAAATTCACTAAAAATTGAATTTCCTTAAAAAAAACTGACATCCAATCTCAGATAATGTTCTTACCATTAAGTTTCTTAACAAGTCGGAACACTGATTTCAAAACTAAAGAAGCTGGACGTTAACTGTTCCCTATACATTTTCTATATTATGTACACTTGTAAGACGGACACAACAAATACGTGTGTAGCATCCACAAAACATTATTAAAAGTATTGTTAATTTGATGAATAAAATGGATTCAACATATTCATGTAAATATTTAAAATAAGCAAGAGGTACTAAGTGTATAGCTAATTGAGGGATAACCCCATGCATCGTAGTAATTGTTTGTTACCTAGTAAATGCATACATTTATATTATTTATATGTATTATATATATTTATTTTAACCTAAATTAGGAGTTATAGAAATTTAAGTAATTATGATAATATTTGCTGTATTTTATTTATAATAGGTGATTATTAATATGATAAATTTACCCTAAGAGGATTAACCATACAATTTATTACGAGGATGCCGATTTCACGATTGGTGGTTTTCCAGGCCTCTCTTCTCCTAATTATTGCTCCTATGTTCCTATGCTCCTATGTTTGTATATGGTATTATATAGTGTTCGTCGTCATCGAGTGCACCAATAGGTATATGCGTATTTTAGTGGGCGAAAGGGGGCATTCGCCCCCCCCCCCCCAAAAAAAAAAAACAATAAACTTGTTATTTTTTTTTATCTGACAGTACTTTTATGTATATTGGAATTGTAACCATTAGTTAGTAATCATTATTGATAGAATATTTTGAATTTGTTGTACCAATAGTAATTATTTCATACATATATAGTTATAACCATCGGCTATTTGGTACCAAACACGGATACTGTTATAACTGCATTAAACTGTCATAAAATTATTTTATGTCAATTAAATACACCTCCCTCTCCCTCTAAATAAACTCGGTATAAAAAACGTTTTTGTAGCACCACTGTAATTATGGATGTGTTCATTAATTAAATTATTTTTTGAATCCAATATTATGCAGATAAATTCAGGTATACCTAAGGTATAATTGTATAATATACAAAAAACAAATTCTAAGGAGACAGTTTATGAGTCAGTCCCAATTTCTATGGATTTTTATATTATCTTTTTGTTACTATTATTATAGTTTAGTATTAATTCAACTAAAATATAATTATTTTAATTAACTACCGAACTAGTCATATAAAAGAATAACATATTATTCAGCTTTCACTCAATATCCTACAAGATTAAGGTATTATTATTGAAACCGTTGGATTTACATTTTTATCGATATAGTATTTATATCAATTATCTATCTACCTAATAAATTATTTTCAGTTTTAGGTGTTTACATAAAAAATAAGGTCAAATGTGGACGTATTTAATTGAATTAAGCTCAAAATATTCATCTGAATTGTTAAATATAAAACAATTGCATGTCGATTTAGAAGTTGCTGCTCATGAGGCTGCAAAAACGGTGCTTCCTGACATCAAGATTATTGGGTGTCGATTCCATTTTGGCCAAGCTTGGTGGCGTAAGGTAAGTACCTAATATATGTTATAACATAAAAAATTAATTATTTTAATGACGATTTTTAGATGATTTTTTATGTATTAATTAGTGATCAGTAACTGCTTTGAATTATTATTTTTGTATTAATTATTATTTATTATGTTACAATTTCACAATTTCAGTATAGTTTTTTCTGATATTCTTAACTATATTAGGTACTGTATAGAGTGTAGTGATCGATGTTTGTATTGACAATTTTTTAAAACATACAACTTATTTTATTTTATATCTTATTATTATTATTAGTATTATTGTATTGTCATCAATAATTTTAGAACGTAGCTTTTTTTTTTTAATACTACCCTTACTTGATGTGAACGTAGTAAAAATTATAAAGTGTTCAATTTGAATAGCTAAGGATTGAAAATTTAAAATGACGATTCTCATAAACAGTTTATATCGTTGCTTAGATTTTTTCTTATATATTTTTGAACTTACTTTTATATTGCAGATCATTGAAATATACGTATATTGTGTATAATACATGGTGAACTTTTTGTATATTTATAAATTTGGCTACGTTGCATACGCAATCGTGTCGTTTTACAGGTTTCCATTGTTATACAGCAAACATACGCAATCGTGTTCCCAAAAAGGTAAAACGTACGCAATCGAGTTCTACCCCTAATTATCGCCCCCAAAATTATTGTAAAATCCCCGCATCTGTCGACACTGGTTCGCTCCCACTTGAGGAAAGGACGACAATCCGCAAATGTTCAAACAACCATCCGTTGCACTCTCCGACGAGTGACGACACCCATGACAAAATAGATTTTGTCATGACGACACCGTTATAATTTTTCACGACCGCTGAACCTTGCACACGTAAGCAAACTTTCACGTCCCTGGGACTTTGATTTTTCAAGCACACCGCACCCACGTGTCTACCTCGTCCATTCAACATCATTTTTCATCTACATATATTCAACCGTGGCTGAGTCTTTACAATGATGGGCCGAGTACCGCCAGCGGGCCGTGGTGGCCATAGCCAGACGAAACGGTTTTCCTACAACCATGTGGACCTACGTTCCGACGACCAGGTGGGCCGTGCCGGCGGCAACCAGCCAGCCTACCCATATCATCGGAACGCCGCAGCATCTCAAAACACCAACAACCGGTCGACCACGTAGTACTCTGTAACTCTGTAACACTTTTCCCCCTATTCCCCCCTTATATATATTGATAATATAAATATTGTATGTAGGTGTCAAAAGACGCAAGCCCCCTATGAGTTCCCTATCATTGACTGTCGCAAACGTAGCGCCACTCGGCCACACTATTGAAAACTTGCACATCGTTCGTACACTCCCGGTAACCCTGCGAGTGCCCCCACGAGCAATGTAGTGGGCTGTCCCCTGTGGGCCTGGAGTTCAACTTTACTATTATCATGAGTAACAAAAATTAAGGCTAAAACAAATTATTAATATGTCTTGCGACGGGTTTTACTATTATTATTTTCCTTTCCACACTTGCCACGTGCCCAAACTATTATACTTTAATGTTTTTGACACTGCCATGTGTCCGAATATTTTGTTTTACTGTTTGTAACTTGCCAAAGTATAATTATGTTATATAACCATGTAAAATACAACCACATAATAGCCCTAAACTCATTATTGTCTTGATTTGTTAATTAATATTATTTTCTTTACTCCAACATAAATCTTCAACATTCATTTGTTGGGGCGTGTATCAAAACCTGTGAGTTCCACCGACTTGACCCTCGGGTCGCACGCGGTGCGGCTCACAGGTCATGATGAAAGTGTTCCCCTTTCCTCATGGATAGTTGTGTGGAACTAAAAAGCCCAAATCCTTACAAAGTTAAAAATATTATTCGTGGTTTCTTGAAATTTCTAAAGTATATTATTAGTCACAAATAATATTAATTCAACGTACCTACCAACTACCTAACCGTATTATTAATAACAATATATAAATATAATATAAAATATCTTAAGCTGACAAATTGCATATGTCTTATTTTTTTAAACATATTTATTTTACCTACATAACAACGATATATTTTGTAATCTCAATAGCAACGAAAACGTGTTGTTTATAATTAATTTTGAAATCTGAAAATATATATTTTGGTAAGTAATTTTTACTTAATAATATAATGTGATGTATATTTATTAATTTGTTTTAATTTTTTGATTTACAGAGAATATGTTTATTGAATTCGTTTCAGAAATAGCCGGCGAGGCCCTTTTCTTTGGACTGAGCTGGTTTGATAGTCCAAAGTAAGTTTAGCTGTGTAAATACTGATTTAATTAATTGATTTTTAATCATAATATGAAAGTGAGAGCTTAATAATTAATAATGCATAGTTGTTTATTATTGAATGTTGTGTCTTCATAATATTATAAATAATCATTTGTAATTTATATTATACTACATAGATCCAATCTCGATTCGACGCAGGAATGAAATTGAACCGAATGTAGTAGGTAACCAATGACAATTTGTTTGGCGTCATTAAGTTGACTTCTAGAGAATTTGTAGACCGTAAGAAATTGTGCATCAATATAATTTTTGCACGGGGTTGTAGTAATATTGTATATTCGGATAGAACTTTTTTCGGGCCTGATAAGAGATCAATCACAAATGTCTGTTTATGGATCCGAACAAATGGTAATGGACGGTGACATATTATACCCTATGTGGATTGAGTCATTAAACACAGTTATGGACGACAATAAGGTAAGAAATACTTTTGGTCATTCATGATGATTTAATATGTAGACATGCTATGAATAATAAAATATGGGCGTACATTACCACACTTAAACGAAATCTTTTGATATAATATATACATTACAGGTGTTGACGTTGGTGAATAATGAACGTATTGCCCTAACACAGACAATGTGCCTACCGTTGGAGGTATCAAATTTGAGGTCTACCACGCCAGTTACTGTCGGCTCTAATCCATATGTTGCTGGTTGGATGGACACTAGTGATAATGTAACTGAAAAAGCTGCTCTCCTGGTACTATTTGATAAATATGTGCCCATCTGTTTGGAAACGCTTTAAACAAAATTCATAATCATAAAACCCGTACCGGAAATAACGCACAAACAAATGTTGTGTACGTTACTCGATTGTCTTTCGACTCCCATCATTTGTCCGCCGGAAAATGCTAGGGATGTGTACGGAACATATTTTGTGTACACTTGTCTTTGGGCTTTTGGTTCAGCCTTATTTAAAGATCAGGTGCCTATAATTAGTATTATTTCTTAATATAGCTAGCTATTTAATATATTATATTATACCTTATACATTTATAGTAATAATATCAACTATATTTTGTGTCTTTGTGATCATTATGCTAAATTGGTAATTTACATATAGTTGATTGATTGGCGAGTTGAATTTTCCAAATGGTGGTTAACAGGTTTTAAAACGATTAAAATCTCATCATCAGGAAGTGTGTTCAATTATTTCATCAACCCTGAACCAAAACAGTTTATTCCTTTGTTAGATCTTGTATCATCTTTCCAGCTTAACCCAGATACACGTCTACAAGTAATAATTATATCATTTAAATAAAAACAATTAATAATTATACCATATTATCGTAATAATTTAGAAAAATATAAATACAATAACAATGTTTCTGAACCTTATACTATTAGATACTATTAGTCAGTGTCGGACTGGGAGAAAAAACAGCCCAAGAAAATTTTAATTTTAGAGGCCCTCAGTAGTAACTAACGTGAAACTGGCACTACACAGTTGGCACAATAATCTAAAACCATTCCAACAAACTCTACTCGGACTTGTTGGACGTTGTTGGACAATTGTTGGAATTTGTTGGAATGTATTTCAAAAGTTATTCAAGTTCAAAGTTTGTAGTGCCAACTACATGGCCAGCACTACATATGCAAATAAAAACTTTAAAACTCTACCAAAAATACTCATATAACATTGTTGGACGTTGTTGGACACTTGTTGGAATTTGTTGGAACGTATTTCAAAAGTTATTCAAGTTCAAAGCTTGTAGTGCCAACTTCACAACCAGCACTACAAATAAAAATAAAACCCTAAAAACAGATCCAAAAATATACACATACAATTTTGAGACGTTGTTGGACTTTTGTTAGACTTCGTGTTAAGTAGTTAAAATTGGTTCATATAAAAAATAATATAACAATTAAAAATTAAAAATTGTCATAATATTGAATCCTCGTATCCAACAACCTGAAAACTTGGTCCAATAAACTTGTCTACACATCTTAGAAGAAGAAAAAACATTCCAACAACCTTTCTAAGTTCTACAATCACCATTTTCTTCTAGCACTACATTTTTCATTTTTTCTACTCTTATTCATATTAAAAATTTTTAATTGTCGTTATATTAAGTTCTTGTGTCCAACAACTTTTAAACTTGGTCCAACAAACTTGTCTACACATCTTAGAAGAAGAAAAAACATTCCAACAACCTTTCTAAGTTCTACAATCACCATTTTCTTCTAGCACTACATTTTTCAATTTACACATATTATTCATATTGACATTTTTTTTTTCATATTATTGAGTTCTGGTGTCCAACAACTTTAAAAAGTGGTCCAACAAACTTGTCTACACATCTTAGAAGAAGAAAAAACATTCCAACAACATTCCTAAGTTCTACAATCACCATTTTCTTCTAGCACTACATTTTTCATTTTTTCACATAACATTCATATTAAAAATTTTTAATTGTCGTTATATTAAGATCTTGTGTCCAACAACTTTAAAACATGGTCCAACAAACTTGTCTACACATCGTAGAAGAAGAAAAAATATTCCAACAACTTTTCTAAGTTCTACAATCACCATTTTTTACTAGCACTACATTTTTCAATTTACACATATTATTCATATTGACATTTTTTTTTCATATTATTGAGTTCTGGTGTCCAACAACTTTAAAAAGTGGTCCAACAAACTTGTCTACACATCTTAGAAGAAGAAAAAAAATTCCAACAACTTTTATAAGTTCTACAATCACCATTTTCTTCTAGCACTACATTTTTCATTTTTTCACCTAATATTCATAAAAAAAATTTTTAATTGTCGTTATATTAAGATCTTGTGTCCAACAACTTTAAAAAGTGGTCCAACAAACTTGTCTACACATCTTAGGAGAAGAAAAAAAATTCCAACAACTTTTATAAGTTCTACAATCACCATTTTCTTCTAGCACTACATTTTTCATTTTTTCTACTAATATTCATATTAATGAAAAATGTAGTGCTTGAAGAAATGGTGATTACGCTTATATTTGTATAAGTATATGAGTGATGACTTTATAGTTTTATACTGCTAATTGTTATTTAATAATATTAACAATAATATTTTCAAAAACAAATCTCTTAAAGCACACAATCATACACTTTATTATGAGTCTTAATATTATAATTTATCTTTACTAGAAATGTTACAAAAGATTTTGGAAAAACCATTAGAGAAAAAAACTGGCAGAAACTTTGATCTACCGGATGGTAAAACACTAATTTACTTTATTGATGATATAAACATGCCAGAAGTAAGTTAACATTTAATATATAATATTTATTTTAAATGACTATCATTTGAAAATATTGGTATTGTAATAAAGAAGAATATTGATTATTACAATGTTCGATACTGCGAAAGATAACATGTATAATATAAGTTAACAAATCAATTTGAACTACTTATTTAATGGTCTATACCTAAATTACATACTTATACTAACTGTATACGAATATTTAAAAGTGATATTCAAAAATTTATTTTTTTGTTATTTCATACAAAATATATTCCGGTTTTTAACATGATAAATTTAATTAATTCCATATACCTTAGAATAAATTACTGTATTATATTATTATTATTGTTTTTTCCATAGTTTTAAGAAAATTCAATCCACTACTAGGTATTATTTTAAATCTTAAACTTATGTATGCAGGGTATTAGTCCTGAAAACGAATACTTGATAAGCCCACCGACACATTAACATTTTGCGGAAGGTATTGGTGATCAAAAATGTATGCATGTGCGGTCGTGGAGTATACTGCAAACATTACTAAATGATGCAATGAAGTCTTACAGTGAATACGCATTGCTCGTTGGCGTGGATGACAGTGGTCAACAGTGTTTGGTCCGCCAATCACTGTTTATATCTTCGCTGGAAATAGAATTTACATTGCCTACATATGGAATTTCCGATTTTAAAGTGGACAAAACCACCTTAATGGCCAAATGGCCTAAATATGAATTGGAGTCCAAATCATTAAGGCTTTTAAGGTTAATTAAAAAGTCATTAATAATATATTCAAATCCCCAGCTGATATTCTGGTGCGATGCATCAATGGCTCACTAATTGTTGAATCGAATACCTACTGTTGAAAAATAATTTTATGTATTTTAATGTATAAGGTAGAATTAATATAATATATTACAAATTAATGAAGTGATCAAACCAAATTATCGTAAATAATCATACCCGTAGAAAGACTCAAGAGCTACCACTGCTTTTTTTCTTTGGGCAGCTTTCTTCGTAGATGCTGTAAAATATAAATTAATAGCAAAAGTAACTAATTTTTTTAGAAACAATTTTTAATATGAATACTCATTAATCCAGCCAATTAATTTTGTTTTATATAGGTTTATTTATATTATGTTAATAATCTTCATTAATTATTTCATTTATATTTACAAGATAGTAATGTTTTTTTTGTATTTATTTATTATGATAATCTCTGCATTTAAGCAATAGACTGATAAATATATTTATTTTTGTTTTAAGTATATTATAGTAAAGTGATTTCATAAAAAATAATAAATCACATTTGTTTACAATAAAAGGAATATTAAAATAAATTAAAATCTTATATTAATAACTTCAATACCTAATAAAATATTTCATTATAAATTTATTACCTCGTCCTTCAATTAGTGAGCCATGGACTATGCATCTCACTAATATATCAGACGGGGGATTTGATATTACGGTAACGTAGTACCGCAGCCCCGGTATCAGCTCATTTAAGAGTTGCACAGGGTGGTAGTTCTTCATGTTAATCTGCAACTTCTTCATCGTCTAAAATAAAAGGGATTAAGTTGTACAGTTATAATTTACTAAAATTGTAATTATTGTAATAATGTGTAATATATATATTATTATGTATACTCTATGCTCTAATGAATAAAATACATAGGTAACATTAAATGAAATATTATTGAATTTATAATAAAAATATTTGAGGAATAGCGTGGTAGATTGGTTCACAAATGTGCCGAATGGGGCCCGAATATTCAGTATGTAGATGGTGGTCAAAATATGCTTTCATTTTTTTATCCAAATAACGCGGACATTTTTGTACTTTATGCACTTTCTTTAAAACATAAATTGTAATTTCATATTATAGTGAGTTAATGATTAACTGTTATTTAATATTTACTTGTAACATAACACAAGTGTTCCGGTCTTCATCATCCTTAAGTCTTAATGATTTGTAATCGGAAATTCCATATGATTCCATATGATCTATTTCCAGCGAAGATTGGCGGACACAACTATATACATTTTTAAATTGACCATTAATTATCAAATTAAAATATCTTACACAAAATACAATTATTACATCTACCAACTACCATCACATACATATTTACAATAACCTACTTATAATATTTACCTTGGTTAAATATCTCATCAGTTTCAATTGTATCAAATATGGTGGTCCTTTTTGCAGAAGAAATCTTACTTTTATTGTTTCTATCATTTGATAGTGATCTTGAATGTGAATAAGAAAAGTTCTGGTCATTATCTTCCACAACTATTTTTCCAATAGGAGAATTCAAAATGGTATGTCTTGAATATGGAGATTCAGCGTTTTCTAAGAGCATGAATAATTTACGATTAATTATTAAATCACAAATAAATATGGTACACACAATACATTTTACAATTTACCATTAATTCTAGATATTTTACAATCAATATATTTATAATAATACATCTATCAACTAAAGTAACTAATAACTATATTAATAATAATAAACTGCTTATTAAATTTACCTTGGTTAAAATCATCAGTTTCGGATAAAGCTTTTTCCAAAGAAAACTTAGAGTTATCATTTTTATTATGGTATGATTTTGATACTGGCTGAGAAAAGTCTTGATCAATATCTTTTGTAGTTTTTTTCCTAATTGGAGACTTCATTTTGGAATAATGTCTTTTGTTTGAAGACTCATCATTTCCTAAAAGCGTGAATATTTAAAATTGTAACTATCTACTAAACATAAATATTGTATGCACAATACACAATTATTCATATTTACCGTCTATATTTATAACAAGCTTGTTATTATATTTACCATGATTAAATGTCTCATGAGTTTCAAATAAGGCCCTTTTCACAGAAAAAAACTTAGGTGTATTGTTTCCCAATCGGAAATCCACTACAGGCGTGGCATTGCGCCAGTACTGGCTGCTACTGGCACACTACTGGCATCCAGTGTTGGCACCAGCACTGGCATATGTCTGGGATGATAACGGTATTCAGTACTGACTTTCAGTACTGAATTTCAGTGCTGGACCAGTACAGACATTTAGTACCGGAATAGTACTGACTAGCAACTGGTAAATCATTGCGCCAGTACTGGCTAATGCTGGCACACTACCGGCAGCCAGTGTTGGCACCAGTACTGGTATATGTCTGGGATGCTAACGGTATTCTGTACTGACTTTCAGTGCTGAACCATTACTGACTAAGTACAGATTAGCAACTGGCGCAGTACCAAAGTTACATAACTGGAGCAGTAGCAACTATTGTTACAGGCACAATAGTATTCTGTACTAGTCTAGTGGTAGCATGGTGGTACCTAATAAGTAATACTATGCCTTTTCTCATACAATTACTCTATATAATATAGACACTATATTATTAAAATGTCTAGTATTCCCTAAATTAGGAAATTTATTGTAGCCATAATAATAAAAGTATTTTTAACTAGCTGATTATAGAAGCTAAACAATAATCAAATTAGTAGAATGTAGTAACTATTAATTCACAGTAAATTATAACCTTGGCATGTTTATGCAAATAGCTTAAACAATAAACTAATCTTAATTCTTAGTTATCAAACTGTACTATATATCTGAGAACATATAATAATAAAATGTAAAATAAAATAAAATGTAATATAATGTATATATCTTTAATGTACAATTTAATGACAAAACTCATTTATATACAATCAGGATTTTATTGATTTTTATCTTCTGTACTTTCGCTGGATTTCTTCATTTTATAATATTGCCTTTCTTTCTTCCCACCTTCACGGTCTTTGGCGCCTGAAAACCATCGACTAAGTTGACTTGATATATCCTTCATTTTTAGATTCGGATCTTTAGTAGTAATGACTTCTGAAATACAAAAATAAATAAAAGAAAATATATAATTTTACAAAACAATATTAATAATATTAAATACCTAGTAAGTATTTGTATGTCTGTGTTGCCGAAAAATTCAGTTTTTTACAACCATTGGTCTCCCTCCCAAAACCACTGAATAAAAGTTGAACATCTTTTGACATTATTCGCGGCATAACCGCAGTTAAATTCTCTGTCACTTTCAAGCCACTTTTGATGTTTATCAACATAAAACATTTCTAAAAAAAAATATTAACAGATTTATCAATAAAATAAAACTGTAGTTTCAGAAGCAATTTTACTAGTTTCTTTATTAGCTCCAGGTTAGTTTTCAATTGAGTATCAAAATCCTGAAAATCTTCCAAGTTCAATTTAGGCATGTCATTTATTTGTTCATCATTCATTATTTTATCAATATCTCCAACATTATTATGGGCTGCAAATAAGTGTCTCGTTATTTTGGCCTCTTGTGTTATCCTGTACTCTATACTTCGTCTGGTAGATTCTAATTGAGCTTTAGTAACTGCTTCTGAAGCTGACGTACCTATAACAAAACAAAAAATTAGGTATGTGAAATTGGTAATTAACATAATCAAATCATTTTTTTATTGGCAATCACTAAAAAAGTATACTAATAAAGAATGTAACAAGGTAACCTAGTACATAATGATTCTAACATCTATTAAATCTAATTAATTATTTTAAAGTAAAACATTAACTGTGTTAATCAGTTAATTGTATATAGTATTTTTAGGACAGTGTTAGAATATTCTTTTAGTTGCAATTATTAACTGTTAACTGTTTCGATTCGGAATACTCAATGGTTTTTTTTATATAAGAATGCCTTAGGAATTTAACTAAAAATATACCTGTAGAGCATGTACAACCACATGTTCTGCATGAATTTATCTTTTTGACGTTTGAAGAAGTTTGAGCTAAAAACAATAAATAGTTAAATATTATTAAAATTTAAATAACATTTTAAGTTAAAAAAAAAAAATCAGCTTAGTGGTAGATTAATTTAGAAACGTACCAAGATAATAAAACTCACTAAATCTATGTAAATACACAAGATGTATGTACCTTTTTTATAACCTTGAAGTGCATCGATCTTTAAATTTGTGGAAGACTGTATCTTTTCATTTGGTAAATTAATAATTTTTGTTGTTGCTGATGGCAACCTTTTAAATTTTGATGTGGGTGATGATGTGGTTGATGAACTAGAACTTGTAGCATGGTCTAAAATCATAATTTAATATTATATAGATATTCATCATGTAATCAAGTAAAATTTGTTATATTCCTAGTTAAATTAACATAACCTCCTCTTGGAAAAAGGTGAAAATGAAAAGATGGTAGGCTAATACCAAATTTAAAAGAAGTTTATTCAAAGAATGTGGATGTTTTAAAACAAACTGATAATATAAATAATATTAATTTTTCACGAACAATAAAAGATAAATTAAATTTAAGTTGTATGCTAAAGTAAATTATGTACTTACGTCTGGATCTTTTTAATGATTTCTTCTTAATAAAAGAGTGTGCTATTGATGATTCTGACGAAGTACTATGATCGGATGCCAAGTTTTGTTGTATAGTGTCATTGGAATGGATACTATCATTGTCGTCGGCTTTGAACATGAATAGTAATTAAGTATCAATGAATTAATATATAAATATATATTATTATAAATAATTAATTAATTAATTACCATTTGATTTTACATAATCTAAATCACTCTTTTCATTAAAAGAAGGAATATTTTTTAAATATTGTTTAACTTCATCTGCGTCTAATTTTAAAATATCCTCTTCAACTTCGGAACTGTTATAGTCTTCTATATTGCTGCTTTGAACCACTTTATTCGAAAATGCCTTTTAGTATTTTGAACCGCCTATAGAGCTTACCTCCATTGGTCCACATAGGTCTGCATGAATTAAA